TCAGGGCCAGGGCTCGCAGCTCAGCTCAGCTCTGCCCAGCTCTGGCCTCCAACGTTCAGAGCGCTGGGCCATAGCCAAACCCAGCAGAGATCCCAGAGGGGAAGTACCTCGGAAACGGGCTCCAGACTACAATAGCTTTTAAATCGCAGAGCAAACCTTCCACCGGCGAAACAGCAAGCCCTGGGAATATCCTGTGCACAAAACACGGGCAACTGCTGGCTGGTTGTTTTATGACCCACAGAGCTAGGTCTGATGAGAAAGTTCAGTTTGCTCCCATGCTAAGCTGTGCTGGGAGGGGGCATGGGGGGACCACATCTCTTCCTGTGGTTTTTGGATTGCTGGGCACACTGGTGGTGCCCGAAAAACAAACACTGCCAGTAACAGCAGGAGCTCTATTGAAAGCTGGGATGACCAAAAGATGACAGGACCTCATGGGTGCTTGGGCTGATGATGTGCACGGAGCACAGCAATCTCTGTAGAGAAGAATGGCCTGTGGCTTTGTGGCTTATTTTTGGGCCAGGAAAGCTCTATAGATGAAAGTGAAGGGTAGATGTGCCCATCCTTCCTTGTGACACCACGGGCTGACACTTAGGAAATGGGTTTTCATTGTCCATGGCATCAGGAGAGGCACCAAGATAACGAAGTGGACCTGCTGCTCCATGGTGCAGAGCCACCAGCAGCTCCAGCTCAGCCCAGGCTGGTCAGACCCTGCTGCACATGGATTCTGCCGCTAAGGGAGGAGAAGACAGAGGAGCGATGCCACAGGAGCATCATGGCACAGCCTGGAGGGTGCTAGGCCTCCAGGAGGAAAAGCCAGCCTAAAGGACCTTTTCCACTCACTTTGGAGCAGCCAACAAGGACACAGGGTTGGGTCTGTTTTCACAGCCCAGCAGACTGTCCTTAAGTGGCTCATCAGATCACAGCTTCACAGGGATCCCCAGCTGTGACACCAGCCAGGCATGGAGCTCCCCATGCAAACACTGAGCAGGTTCACCACTTTCCCTTTCTGCAAATGCCTTTTCCTGTCAGGTGAGAGGGCTCAGAGCTGAGCACCCCAGCAACAGTGACACCGAGCTCACCTACCCACTGCAAACACAGCCCCGGAGCTGCCTGTCCCTCCTACCCCAGCACAGCCCCAGAGACAGCGAGCTCCAGCCTCTGCAGACAGCCTTAGGGAGCAGCTCCCTTCCAAAATTATCCACTGGTGCCCAGGCCTCTGTAAAATCTCTCCAGTGCTCTAACGGCATCACATAAGCTCTTCTTTTTGCCAGCACCTTGGAAATATGACCATACAATTAAAATCAGGAGAAAAAAATCAAGAACTTTTGCTCCAAAAAGCATAATTTGTGCTCATCTCAAACCTCAGG